TCGACCAAGTTTTAAACTATTAACCAGTATATGCTGATCGTGCATTATTAGGCAGTCACTAGTACTAGGAGGCCTACTTACACTGAAAGATTTTTTTTAGGTCATTGGCATTATACGCGAAAAAATCGAAAACTGCAAAGCTGGTCGGGTCGCTAATAAAATAATAAATCTGTAACTATGGCGTCTATTAGTATAACTAGGTATCTAATTATCTAGATCTACCTATAAATAATAATATCTTACTTTTCAGTATCCTTCGGAACAGTAAAGAATGAAAAGTTGACATTCCTATTGCTATTTAATCATCCGTACTTTTTGGCTTTTTGAGAGGTATACTTGAATAAAAACTCAAAAATAAATATGAAAAGAGCCAAAATACTTTAAAAAGAAAAATCATTTTTTTGTTAGCGTAAGGCGCGTGACAACCTCACAGAATTAGCCTCTTGTAGGCAGCCGGGCAGCGTAGGTATATTTTCATAAATAAAGCCCACAGAGGCCTGGTAGTACTTCCATTTGTCAACAGTAGTGTTATACGGCCCATGTAATAGGGGGTAAGCCTATTGCCATACGTCAGACACAAATCTAGACTCTGTGCTACTACTGGGAATTTCAAGTTAGAAAAACCCAATAATACTTTGCCCGACCTGGAGATCGAACCCAGGTCCTCTTGCTTAGCAGTCGCGCTTGCGACTACTAGCCTAACGAGACAGTCTGTCTCTAGTCTAGACTAAGTAAGTTAGTTATTAAATTATTCAAATTTTGAGTTTATAAAACTTTATTAAAGTTAAATAAAATTTTAATAAGAAATTTTCCCAGTATTTCAAGTCGAGTGACTTCGGGATCTAGACGATTTCTTTCATCAGTAGCAATATTTCCCGCAACAGAAAAATACCTTTCACATTTCTTGAATCATTTGAAATAATTCGTGAATCAGTTCGATTCGAGAGGTTTTTGGATCGATTCATCAAATCGATAGTGTTCAAAATCGATACGAAAATTATTATTTTAGTTAACGATTATTTTACTCTAAATAATCGATTGATTTCAGATCGGCATGCCTACTAGTGATGTAAAATGAACGTAAAGTGTGTAAACGTGTGCCGTCACTGTGGAACACATATAATGTATAATATCATTGGTACATAATATATATATGGTGTATAATATATTAATATCATTAGCTGCACTAGTTTAGTTTTAAAATTTTCGAACTTAAGTCAATTGCTGGCAACTGTAACTGCATAAAATATTTTTCAAATCGATATGAAAACTTTTAAACGCCTTATAAAACTAATAATTCTATTAATAACGCCCTTATGTCTTAATGTCTATAAACCATGGAGTATAAAGTAGAAGGAGGACCATCTCTGTATATTACTGACTTAGAAGTATAAAGACTGGGCATACCTACAGAATTAGCGTTACTACCTAAACAAATATGGCGCATAAAATGGCCGCCTTTTATAGGGTTGTAACCCAGCAATATGGGCAGCTGATTTCGATATTGTTACTAATATGAGTTTCTTCTTATTTCATATAATTATAGAAATTAAATCCGTAGCCTAATTGCGTAACACGCCTAAAATAGCAAACCATACCAATTTGACAGTTTAACAACATCCAATGCGTGGTTTTTGTTGTCGAGCAAACGAATTTTTCAATCACATGAAGCAATGGATTTGTTGGGTTGTTAAATTAGTTTTGGATTGCTATCCCTTAAATTTCGCTTGAGCTGTTTCACCAGGCTTCACCGCATATGTACACTTACGCAATGCATACTCTGCTACAGATTTTTTGTGTTAGGTACACAGTCAAACAATGAGATAAGTATGCAGGCACCTAACTTGCATCTTGTTTCAAACAATGTTCTGTGTGTACTAAGTGCTTACTCAAGTTTTGAAGTTATACTTCTTTTGGCGCGTTTAAGAAAAATGATGAGAATGAATTTTTTTCAACTTCAGTTGATAATTGTCTGTCGATTATATTTTTGTGAGAACTGATAACTATATTCAAGTTAGTTATTCAAATATATATGAATGTATAAAACGTATTTTATTTTTAGTTATTTTTGTTTTGTTACGCTAAAGAAGTATAGCTTCTTACGTGCGTACATAAGTACACGCACACATTTTTTTTATATCAATAGGAACAAAGTCAAAAAGTTATAACGCACACAATAAAAATGAATATTGACAGAGTAGTGGGAAAATGAATATTTTTCTTGTATACCAAACTGTGATGTTTGTTTACTGTACGATAAAAAATGTGTTTTTTTATTGTACAGTAAACAAAGGTATGGAGATGGGATGGAGATCCTTGATCCCATATTATAGTATTTTTAATATAAAATAATAATGATTAGTTGAGAAAGAATTAAATAAACTGTTTTAAATATCAATATTTATTTATTATTAATTGGTATATAGGAACGTTCTGCACATAATTTATCACAAATGGTAAGTTATACAAGCATGTTCGGTCCTGCTGGATATTATATAGAATTTTTTTATTCAGATTTTAAATGACAAACATTATTATTTTACCAAAATAAGCACTTTACAAACTGTAGTTGTCTCTCTTTTCTATTGCAGCAACTGCTTTGTTAAAAAGAGACAAAATTGTTTTTCACAAGTGCGTGTCGATATTATAGATATTTGTAAACTGTTATTACTTTATATCTCCAATTAGAGTGGCGCAGCGGTAGCATAGGATACATTTTAAAAAAAGCTCCAAAAGTAATAAGAATAAGATGGAGAAATAAACAACAAGGACCGACCAATCCACTTGGTTTTGTACTAGGTAAATAGTTGAGGTTTTGTATACTGGCATTTTACTAACTACCCTAGTCATGAAAATTTTAAAATATTTGAATTCAGCTGACTTCACTCCGTCTACAACAGCTGTATTCATATCGTAGTTTTTCAGACGCCAGTGCTATTGTGGTAGGTTTTGGAACCTCTATTTTCAGCGTACAGTTGGATACTTTTCATCTTTCCCCCCATATGAGATGGTTCTTCTTCTACTCTATACTCCATGACTCTCTCTCTCTCTTCCTGGCTATGTGTCCCACATGGTGGTGGGGTCAGCCTTTCTTGTCTTACGCCTCCACTTCGCTCTATCCTCGACTTCATTTTCGGAGACTTCGCACTCTCTCATGTCCTTTACCACTACATCTTTCCATCGTGTTTTGGGTCTGCCCCTGGATCTTCGACCTGGGATGGAGAGTTGTAGTGCCGAGTTCCCTACGTAGTCGGGTGGCCTCCTCTTCACGTGCCCATACCATCGCAGCCTACTTTCCTGCATCTTGTCAGCGATGTCGCGCACGCCCAAGCTTCCTCGCACGTACTCGTTGCGGATTTTGTCGCGCTTGGTAACGCCGCACATCCACCTCAGCATCTTCATCTCAGCAACTTGCATGGTATGCACATTCTTTTGAGTTACGGCCCATGTTTTACTGCCATACAATAGGACTGGTCTGATGATGGTCTTATAGATTAAACCTTTAAGTTTGACCGGCATTCTCCTATCGCACGTGACACCAGTCACTTCTCGCCACTTTAGCCACGCTGCGGCTATTCGGTGCTGAATGTTAATTTCCAAGTCCCCAGAACCGCTCATCATACTACCCAGATACTTGTATTGATCACACGAGTTCACCAATTGTCCATCGATGGAAATCGGACTGTTGTTTGTATCTGGGTCGTTGAAGGACATGAACTGAGTCTTTGCCACACTAAGCACTAGGCCACCGGTCTGTAACTAATGTTTCCACGACACGAGTGCCTCTTGCAAGTGAGCGCGGCTGTCTGTGCAGATGGCTACGTGGTCAGCGTATATAAATGTCCACGTTGCTGAATTCTGTGCCGCTTCGGTGAGTGAGTCCAGAACCAACCAAAACAGAAAAGGGCTCAATACAGAACCTTGGTGCACTCCTTCTGTGACCGCTATCGACCTGGTCTCACCCACCACCGTCCATGACTACATGCTATAAATCTTTTTATTTTTTTATGGGATAGGGTGACAAACTAGCACACAGTCCACCTGATGGTAAGTGGTTGCTGTGGCCTATAGACATCTACATTTATCCTCGTTAGCGAATCAAAATGCATATGCGTTGTCACCCCTGAGGACTAAGATGGAATGCCTCTTTTCCAGTAAAAAGGGTCTCCGGTTCTCTACACTCACCATACGAAACACAGCAGTGGTAAACTGCTATTTTACGCTGGTATTCTGTGAGAGCGTGGTCCTTCTCCGGACAAGCCGACCCATTCGTGCTACAACTATACTACTAATATAGCTGCAGCATGGCTCTACCACGTATAACGGCTATAAATGTAAAAATTATCATAGACTTAGAATATACTGGCGTAGTCTATATATATATATATAATATATTATATATAATTATAATATATTATATTTTAGCTTTTTTATGGTAGGAGTGGGTAATATCGTAATTTCGGAATATCATATCCAAACTATATATTGATATTCGATATCGGATTTCGAAACACTATATTTTCTGAAACTATATATTGACGACACATGCACTATACGACAATTTTTGACAAAGTGGATACTGACTCGATACTCGGCTACGAACGTACAGTATATAGTGTATATGATATTTAGTGTGACTAGGTACTATTATGAAAACTAGAATATGCACTATGTATTTTATACAATATATAACTAAACTAATACTCACCATTAAAGGACTGTCCTTCATACTTTTACCAGACTTAGGACTGGCTGCAATATTTTCGGTTTTGAAAAAACTGTGATTTATTGTTTTAATAGTTAATTAGGTACGTACTGTCTCACTATAATAATGCAGGCGTATTTATCAGTCCATTTGCTGATCTGTATATATTACACTATTTACAATCTTTCTCGTTCGTTTTACAAAGTTAAGTATGTTAAATGCAATTAAAATATGTTATTTGTTTTATTTTTACTTACTACTGAATATTTACATTATTTACTTAGTAGAATTTAGATTATTCAAATCTGTGTTTGTTGAGATTAACGTTTAAAAATCCGAGTTGTTTAACTTTTGATGATGCTAGCCGGGTTCGACGATCATTAATAATCAGCCCCGTCTTGCTGAGTACCCTCTCGCATGGTACCGATGTAGCCATAATGTTTCCATATTTTTTGAATAGTTGTGCTAAATATGGATATGTAAATCTATGTTTGCGCCACCATTCGAGAGGGCAAATCCAAATATTTCCAGTGAAAACTGGCAAAAGATCGTCATTTAAATAAGTATCCACTTCTTTAATGGCTTTTGACAACGTGGTTCCAACTTTCTGTGTATTTCCTACTATTTCACCTAGAATGGCACATGGGGAAAATTTATCGTCGTCTTTGTTAGATGCCGAGACGAGTGCCTGATCTGGCTCTCTTTGTCTGGTCTCCTGTGCTATCATTGCTGTTACCAGGTCAAGAATATTCTTCTTTGTATTTTGGCTTCATTGTCATCAGAACATACTGCGAGTTTGTATCTGGGATCTAAGAAAGTGCAAATAGCAAAAGTTCCGCATCTTTCAACATCACAAAATCTTGTTGTCAGTCCTAACTTTATACTACTAATGAACTGCTTAGATATACCATAATACTCTTCGTCCAGAAGTTTGTCACACGATGCTATCAAGCATCGTGTCATAGGTATAACTGAGCTACTTGTCATATATTTTTCGCCGCTCATAGATTCGGTCGCTTCATCAAAAGGTTTTAATATCTTTTCGACTTCCGCAAGGAGCAACCACTCTTCATTGGTAATAATCGGTAGGTCTTTTCTGACTACAGCAATCGTAGACCTAATTTGTTGCTCCAGCTCAACGAAACGCTTGACCATATGAAAAGTAGAGTTCCAGCGCGTTGAAACTTCTTGAACCAATCGTTTCGGAACACAGTTGAACTGGTCACTCGTTTGCGCTTTTAATAATTTTTCCAATGCAGTGCTGCTGCATTTAAGAAACCGTATAATTTTTTTTTTACCTTTTCTAACACACATTGTAAAGCCTGGGCAGAAATCGTGTTTTGTAAAATTAAATTTAATGTGTGCCCATAACATCCGTAATGCTTCCAGCCGATGTCGGTAATAGCCTTTTGCATATTGGCACCATTATCGGTGACCATGAAGTTAATTTTGTTGGACAACTCATATTCATCAACAATGTTATTCAAAACTCTCTGAATATTTTCACTTGTGTGAGCGTCTTCAAAATATGCGCAGTCCAACAAAATGGTCTTTAGTTGGAATTCATCTGTAATGAAATGACCAGTTACAGCCATGTATGATTCATTAGCTCTTGAAGTCCATAAATCACTCGTGAGGCATACGTGGTGTATGCCGCAATTAGGACCCAATTCTATTTTTAGAGCCTCTTTAGTTTTTTTATATAAAGCTGGAATCATAACACTTGAAATAGTTATTCTAGTCGGGGGTTGATAACCCGGAATCCAGCGAATAAATTTTTTGAAAGCTCTTTCTTCTACTAGTGTAAATGGGTGATAGCTATCAAGAAATAAATCTAAAAGGTCACTGTCAATCTTTCTTTTTAAATCAGCTGAGATTTTTTTAGCGGTGCCATACCTTTCTATCGCTTGTTGCCTTACTTGACCCATGGTGGAAACTGTAGCTTGAGATTCCGATGGATGCACTGGTGTTGGAGCTAGCGCTGTTGTTGATGGTGTGGCGGTTGTCGTACTTGATAGAGTATTTACCGTGGTAACCGTTGTGGATCCAGTTACGGTTGAAGCAGTTTGGAATGTTCTTATTTCTAGCTGCCTGGTAATGATTCTAGTATAAGCATCTAAATGTCTTTTTTTTAAATGTGCCTTAAGATTACGTGTCGTCCCTTTGTAACTGTAACTGTCGCCGCAAACACGACATTTAGCCTTTTTGTCGCCTACATTTGTTCTATCAAAATAGTCCCACAAAATACTGGAATTTATACGAGACTTTTTAAAGTTTTGATTTAACAAAATTAATACCTATACAGTAACTACACACAATTTACACTACAGATTCATAAATACACCGATATAAATGAGTCACAAATTATTATAAATGAGAAATTTTTAAGTTTAGAATATACTTGCTGCTCTATAACACAAAATAGGTACTTTATACACAAATTATTATTTACACTTATAATATGAGTCACAAAATTAAATTGTTTTATATCGAAAGAACACAAATACACTCTAAAGCAAATTTAAATTATTAATTTCAAAACTTTCAAAACTAAGGAGGAACAACAAATAAATGCGCTCACTCGATTGACACCTACGTCAAACTAAAAATAGAATTCTTCAAAAAAAAACTTAAACATTCGATCCTAATTTCTTTGCTCTTTTTAAAATACTAAAAGAAACCTTCAAACAGACTTTGTATAATATTAGAGTTAAGGTTTAGAATCGTATGTATTGTGAAGCTATTTCAATTTCATCTAACGCGCACTCCCTCTCTACTTTGGTATCCAACGTGGACTACTCCAACGCGACTGAGCCACGAGCGAAAGAGACAGACTGAGACAATGATTAACTTAACTATTGACTCACGAGTGACGAGTGAGCAGGCGAAATAATTATAATCCACACAAGTCAGATAGAGATAACAAATAATAAGTGTATCACTCAACTCGTACGGATTTTCGCTGACGTTATTCATGCACGTAAAAATTACCACTAAGGCGCTTATGTGTCAAATACTATACGATCGTTTTTTGTATGTAATATTTGCATTAACAAGTTGTCATTTTATGTTGATGCGGCACTTGTCAAATTGTCTATCTTATCATTAGCGCCTGTTTACGAAAACATACTAAGTTATGTTTAGGATTTCTTTGCGTAGTGATTATTGTGACTTTACTTTCTTCCCTTTCATTATAAAGTTTAGAGTTATGATACTTTGCGAGAAAATTCTGTGTACATAGACATTGCTGTTATGTGTAAATGAACATTTTTGTAAATAATGAATTGACATTGTGACATTTTTGTTAAAGTATGAAGGAGAATCGATTTTATATACAATCTTATTACGGTACACAATAAATAATCTAGGCACTTATATTATTCAGCATTGTTGCCACATAACATTTCACGGATCAGTCAGTAATAAACGCCCGCGACGCAACTTAATGTATTCGGAACATTCTTTCTTTTATATCTTTTGAGTCGATTATACAAATGAGCCAAGTGAAACATGTCAGTGTTTCGGAACATTTCAGTGATCAAGATGCAAATGTTCCAATCCCAAAAATGATACACTTTGCCCACCTCCAATTCGTGATACTGTATAATATATGGTTTGACTTCGGATTTCTATACCACTGCTATTCCATATCGTCGCAAATCGCGATCCGCTGTTGGCAACAAGCAATATAGTGTTTCGTCCGATATATAGTTTTTGATTAGGCCGATATCGGATATACGGTATTGAAGCAATATATAGATTCAATAACTATATACGTTTTGTATCGCCCACCGTTAATGTGTCTACCACTGTTTTCTTTGGCATAATTATATGACATAATTATTGTGAAGTAGTGTACTATGAAGGATAATTATTATACATTGTAACTTTAGGCTCAGAAGGGCTAGAACCCAGAGCTGTAAAGTCAGATATAAAAAAAGTTCTAGCACTATTATAACAATGACAACTTATTGACATATTCTAAATTCTAATTTCTAACCATTTCTAACTTTTATGGGATTGTCATTTGTCACTTGTAAAATGAGAATGAGAAACACAATATTATAATAATAAGTAATTACTATTGCAATAAGAAACACAAATTATGCAAAATGAGAAATTAGTGCTGATATCTCTATAGGTCTGTGGAGTGCTGGCACAGCTGGGATATTAAAGTTCTTCGATGAAGATATCATTATTCATTGTACTTATTCAAGTAAAACTTATAAAAACAAGTCATTGATTGTAATAACAATGGATGAACTAGTTAATTATCTACTGCTTATATTGGTTATACTGCCAGTGCTCTTGTTTATAAATTTATGGGCAGGTATTGGTTGGGAACTATTTGTTAATAATTAACGGAGCAGTAATTTCAAATTACCGATTCCATCTTTATTTATAACATTTCATAAGATGGAGAACAGTTTCTTAATTTCATGTTATCATTTTAAGATTTTAAATTTAGCAAGCAAGAATTATTTTAGAATTCAAAAGACTATTATTATTAACATATTTAAGTTGTTCTTAAACCAATATACTAAGTTTTAAATGTTTAATATAGTTTAAAGCATTTATATAATTAACTGTTGTTTTAATATTGAGCCAATAATTAATACTAGAATTTTCATTAGCTGTCAAAGATTATTTTACAGCTTTTAGACAAGAAATATAAACCGTAGCCATTTTCACGTACATCTGCATGGTGATATGTCATTTTGGAATGGAGATTAATATGTCTATTATGATATTAATGATATGTCCACATACTGCTGGATATATTAAGGAATTCATTATAAACAAGGCTATACTCTGACTCTTTAGCTTATGCTTTTGTTAGACCCATTAAGAGAAGAAAATATTTTTTCTTGATTTATATAAATAATTTAATGAAAGACATCCTAAAAAGGATATCAAGAATGTTTACACATTCACTGTGCAGTTAAAACTTAGAAATTCACTTCTATTTTTCCAATAAACCACATAATATGCACATAATACAAGCTCTACACAATAATAATAATTTCCTCCAGACCAAATTTAGGGCATTGTAGCCAATCTACTGAGACTAGTAATTTGAGCAGGACAGGATTATAGTGCATGTGTGTTTGCAGGCACAGGTGCACTTTCTATTCCTTCACTCTCATAGTTCTATAAGATACCGATCCGACACAACTGGAGAGAGATCAGGCAAAGGACCAATGGCTTTACATGTTTTTCGAGGCTTCTGAGCTTTGTGAAATACCACTATCATCCTGACTCCTGGCTGTTACTGAATATTTCTCCACAGAAAAAGCCAATAAGTAATGTTGGGCCGATGCAAAATGTGAAACCAGGACCACATGATCAGCAGTTATGCTTACAACCACAAGATCAAAGAGGAAACAGAAACAGAAACTTTTTTATTCAATATAGATTATAAATAATACTTATTGAAAGTCACTATTTTGTTTCAAACGTGGTAGAGCCACGCAGCAGTTTTTGCTGTTGCACGTATGGGCCGGCTCGAGCCGGGTTGGTACCACGACCTCACAGAATACCGGCGTGAAGTAGAAGCTCTGCTTCTGCGTTTCGTCTGGTGAGTGCAGGTGGCCGGAGGCCCAATCCCCCCCCCCCCCCCCCCACCAACATGGTAGCGGAATTACACGATAGACTACCCCAGGGGGGTACCATTACCCCTGGAGAATCCCTCGCTGAGCATCCACGACCATGTTATTCCGATCCTGA